AGTTAGTGTTCAAAGATGCAAGGTGGAGCCATATGCAATGTCTTCGGAGAAACTACTTTCCTCTCTTTCTTTCCTTCCCTGCATGCTTCCCCGCCCCACCAGGAAACAATGAATAATGACTGTCACTAGGGAAAAGGGCTTGAAAATGGCATGTAGATAACTCTGTGAGGCCCCAAAGTAAAAACTGGAGAATGCATGACACAAATAAAGATGACTATCTGGGTACTTACAAGTTCTTATTTGTTGGAGGAAGGAGAAGTTCTGGCATGCCCTATATGGGATTCATTATTCTCATCTTTAGAAAATTAGACTCTGATGGGATTTAGAAGACACCAGGTTGGAAGCCACCAGCGGAGTGGCATGGGAAGATCTTTGGCCCAGAAGTTATGGTACCTGAGTTTTAGTTGTGTCTCCGCTATTTTTGTGAGCCATGTGTCCTTGTGCAATTCATTTAAACTGAGACTAATAGTCTCACCCCAGAAATACTGCGTTGCTGCACATAGTCAGCATTCTCTAAATGTCACTGAATAAATAATGAATAAATAAATGAGCAAAGTGGTTTGCCTAAGGTCACCCTCAGTGTGAGCTGAGCCTGAGCCCACAGGTGTCCTGAGGCAGTCTGATGCTCTGTCCAGCTTAGTGCACAGTGAAGATGGGTCTCTCCCACCTCCCCCCACTCACTGATGGTCTCAGCACTCTGTATACTTTGAGGAGAATCTGCTCCAGGTTCTTCACAGAGCACAGTACCAGGGTGCAGACCACCACATCCATAGCGCCATTGGCCACCTGGTGCATGTTCTCCCCAAAGTGCTCAGACTGCTCGAGCTGCAGGTGCTCGAACTGCAGTTCTTGGCAATATTCTTGATCAAGAGCTTCTCGAAGTTGGCCATGGGATCAATACAGGTCACCCTGCACCCAGGTGGTGATGAGCTTGAAGTTGACCCTGGTGCCACAGCCCACTTCCAGCAGGGACAGCTTCCCAGAGGGGCCCACAAACTCCCGCAGGTTGCTGAAGAGCTCCCTCTTCTTGCTGGCCATCTGTTCATTGTACATCACAGTGAACCTCCGCAAGAAGTAGGGGAACCATTTTTTGCATATCCAGTTCCATGAACCCAGAAAGTTCAAGAGGAACACAGGAGATGCCAGGATGCAGGCGGCCAGAAGGAGAAGGTGAACAAGGACTGTCAGTACATGGGGAGGAGCACCCACGACCATGCGGACGGGAGGAGGGGAGAGGGTGGAGAGACTCTCAGAGTCTTAGAGTCCTTATCCCACGTACCACATAGTGCTCAAATGAGGGACAAATTTTGGGAGGTGGTTTCCCGAGTTCCAGTCTTCCTGGGCTTTCACCAGAAAAGGGAGGATAGGAATGGCCGTGAGCATGGCAGGTCTTCTGACGGCTGTCTGCCGTAATAACTGTGACAACAGAGACAGCTCCCATTTATTGAGTCTTCCTGATGTGTTCAGAGCTTTAAGTATGTTATATGTCTATGATCTTCTTCAATACTTAAACCCCATGAGATAGACTCTATTGATCCCCCATTTTATAGATGAAGAAAATAAGTCTCACAGAGGCCAGCTACAAGGTCACATAGCTTGGAAGAGGCAGTCTGAGTCAAACCAGAGCTCACACCTTCTACCACGGCACTGAATGGTTTTCCCTGAGACTGCTGATCTCATTTAAGAGAGTAACTGTTACGTGGATTGAGACCAGAGAAAGTACATTCACAGGACGACCAGGTGTAGAGAACTGGGGCAGAACAGACCCACTAAATGTTATTTACATCTCCCCTGGAAGCAGAAATAGCCATTCTCTTAGAGTCTGTGGAACTTTCTCTGAACTCCTCTGCCTACCTGTGAATATCTATGTCCTTGTCCACCCTCAACTCCCTCCTCCTGCCATAAACATCGAGGTGTTTCCCCTGGCCATAATCACTGGCCCCACCTGGACTCTTCAACCCACCTGCAACCCAGACCTTGCTCCATTAACTAGGTCCTCCCTCTGTCATATTTAAGATCTCTTAAATATGTCTCTGTCTCCTCCTCTGCCAGTCCACATCTCCTCCATCCTGAAATCATCTTTTCCTTGACTTGCTTTCTATTCGAGCTAACTTCCCATCTCACTTTTCCTTCCTGCTAAACCTCATTAGCAATTGTCCTCAGCACTCGCTGTTTCCATTTTCTCATCCCACTGAAACTTTGGCCCTGATACCTGACTTCCTCCCCACAGCGGAGGGGTGACTGACGGAATATGACGTCTGAAGAGGTGGGGGAGAATGGTGTCTGGAGCACAGGTGGAGGACAGTCTGTCCCTGGAGCTTGGACTGAGGGAGGAAGGGTGGGGAGGGGCAGCAAGTGTGGGTGGGGGAAGAAAGGCAAAGGAGTTTTTACCAGATTTATTTCATTTTACTGGATTATTTGATTTTCTCCGTGAAGAAGGCATGATTCTTTGTTGAGGGGGAGGGGGAGGGTAAAGGATTGCGGTTAGGAAGAGAGTAGA